TAAAGTAAAAAAAAAAAATCAGTGAACTTAAGTTCCTCATTAAAAAGTTAGAGGGAGGGCAGAGCGCCTGTGTGGCTTGTCAGTTGAGTGTCCAACTCTTGGTTTTGGCTCAGGTCATGATCTCACAGTTGCAGCCCCACATCAGGCTCACTGGTGTCAGCCTGTCAGTGCAGAGCCTATTTCGGATCATCTGTCCCCCTCTCTCTGCCCCTCCCCTACTTGCACTTTCTCAAAAATAAATAAAACATTTATTAAATAAATAAATAAATAAAAATAAAAAGTTAAACAAAGAAGAGAAATTTAAATCCAAAAGAAGTAGAAATCAATGATATAGAAAATGGACAAGCAAGAGAAAAACAATGAAATCATAAGTTGATTTTTTGAAAAGATCAACAAAATTAATAAACCTTTATCTAAGATGATATGAAAAGAAAGAAATAAAATATGAAAAGAGAAGAAGAAGGAAGGGAAGGGAAGGGAGAAGGAAAAAGAAAACATAAATTACCAAGATTGATAATGAATGGAGGAGATCACCACATATCTTATAGACATTAAAAAATAAGTAAATACTATTTTTCAAAACTTTTGTCAATAAACTTGACAACTTAGATAAAATGGACTAATTCTTTGAAAGAAACAAATTACCTACATGTATTTAAAAACTTAATTCATAATTTAAAATGTTTCCAGAAAGAAATCTCCATGCCCAAATACTTTCAATAGTGTATTCTACCCAGCATTTAAGAAAGAAATAATACCAATCCTATACAAAATTTTCCAAACAGTAAAGGAAGAAATATTTGCCAACTCATTTAATGAGGATTGCCTGGAATGCCTGGGTGGCTCAATCAGTTAAGCATCTGACTCTTGATTTTGGCTCAGGTCATGATCTCATAGTTGAGTTAGAGTCCCATGTCAGGCTCTGTGCTGACAGCATGGAGCCTGTTTTGGGTTCTGTCTCCCTCTCTCTCTGCCCCTCCCCTGCTTGCTTTCTCTCTCAAAAATAAATAAAACTAACTTAAAAAAATAATAGGGATTGCCTAATAAGAAAGCCAAAGACATCACATACTAATATCTCCCATGAACAAAAACACAAAAATCCCTACTAAAATATTAGCAGATACACTACAGCTGTGCAGAAAAAGGATAATACCTCATAACCATTTGGATTTATCACAGGAATACAAGGTTGGTTTAATATTTAAAATATGAATTGGTGGCTCATCATATTACCAAAATAAAGAGAAAAAATCATTATCATCTTAATAGATACAGAAAAGCATTTGACAACATTAAGCACCCATTCATGATGAAAAACTTCTGCAAACTATAGAAGACACGTTCCTCAACCTGATGAAAGGTGTCTATGAACAACAGATAGCTAATATCACGTATAACAGTGAAAAGTTGTATGCTTTCCCCCTAAGATTGGAAACATGGCAAAAATGCCCACTCTAATTACTTCAAGTTCAATATTGTATTGGAGATCCTAGCCCAGTGCAGTAATAAAAGAAAAAATAAATAAATAAAAGGTATATAGGATTTAGAAAGGAGGAAACAAAAAACAGTAATTCACAAGTGAATTCACTGTAAACCTAGAAAATCCAAACAAATCTACAAAAAAGGAACTTGTAGAGCTAATAAAGGAATTGAGCAAGGTCATATGATATGAGTTCAAAATTAAAAGGTCAACTGGATGTCTATATACTAGCAACAAACAATAGAAAAATGAAATTCAAAAAATATCATTTACAATAGCATTAAAAAAGCCTTAGGGATAAAGTTAGCAAAATATGTGCAAGACCTGTACTGAAAACTATAATACACTGCTAAGATAAATTGAGGAAGACATAAATAAATGGAGCTAAAAGTCAAGGATTAGATGAGTTGACACTGTTAAGATGCCCACTGCCTCCAAACTGATCTATAGAGACCATGCAATTCCAATCAAAGTCCCACATGGCTTCTTTGTAGAAATGGGCAAACTGGTTACAGAGCTAAGATGGACATGCAATGGCCCTGTAATAACCTAAACAATTATGAAGATAAACAGAGTGGGAAGACTTGCACTACCGGATTTCCAGACTGCCTCTAAAGCTATAGCAATCTTATAGTATCAGCATAAGAGCAATCATACAGATGAGTGGAACAAAACAGACTCCAGAAACAGACCACACACAGTCAGTCAACTGGTTTTCAACAAGTTTGCCAAGGTAATTCAATGAGGAAAACAATCATCGGTGCAACAAAAGGCACTGGAAAAACTGAACATCCCTACAGAAGAAAGGAAACTTCAACACTGATCTCATGCCACACACAGAAACTGAGTTGAAATGAATCCTAAATCTAAATGTAAACACAAAAACTAACACACTTCTGGAAAAAAGAACGTATAAAATCATCTTTACAACGTTTAGTTGGGTAAAGGTGCCTTGGGGATCACACAGAAGCAGAAACTATAAAAGAAAAAATTTAGTGTGACTTCACCAAAATTAAATACTTGTGCTCTTCGAAAGACAAGCTAAAACTTGAAAATTTGAGGTTAAATTTGAAAAGTTAAAAGTGAGAAAATATTCACAATACACATAGAAAAGGCATGTACACAGAATATATAAAGAGCTTACAACTTAAAAATAAACTGCCCATAGAAATGAGCAAAATTTTGAATGTGCACTTAGCAAAAGAAGATACTCAAATGGCCACAAAGCATACGAAAGACACTCAACATCTGGTCATCAGGGAGGTGCAAATTATAACTTTTAAATTATCTCTTTATGATACAACTACACATCTCCACGAATGTCTCAAATTCAAAGGCCTAACAATACCAAGGACTGGCAACGATCGAGCTCTCACACGCTGCTGGTGAGGGCGTACAACCACTTTGGAAAACACTATGGCAAGTTCTTAAAAGTTAAACGTTCAGATACCATATGATCCAGAAATTTCACTTGTTAGGTACGACCCAAGAGAAATGAAAACATATACCCACAAAATGACTTGTATGTGATCAGTCACAGCAGTTTTATTATAAAATCCCCCAACTGGAAATGACCCCAAATGCCCCCTCAACTGGTGGTTGGATAGGCAAATTGTGGTATATTGATACAATGGAGTACTATTCACCAATAAAAATACAAACTTGCTGAGCTACACAAAAAACATGGGCGAATCTCAACATAATTCTGAAAGAAACAAAAAGACTCAAAGAAGTGTATATATATATGTACATATATAAGCATGTATACATATGAACACAATCATATGTGTGTGTGTATGTGTGTATATATATACATGTATACACACACACACACACATATGATTGTGTTTATATGAATTTCTTGAACAGGCAAAGTTAATCTATATGAGAATGCGGATCAGCGGCTGCCTGGGCTGGGGTAGCAAGGGAATGGATTGCAAGGAGGCACAGAGGAACTTTTGGGGTTAATGGGAAAGTTCTTCTCATGTATCTGATTTTGAAAGCACAGTTGATAGGTATCTCATTTAAATTCACAGATTAGGGGGGCCTGGGTGGTTCAATCAGTTAAGGGTCAGACTTTGGCTCAGGTCATGATCTCGTGGCTCATAAGTTCGAGCCCTGTGTCAGGCTCTGGGCTGACAGCTTGGAGTCTAGAGCCTGCTTTGGATTCTGTATCTCCCTCTCCCTCTCTCTGTCTCTCTGTTTGTGTTCTCTCTCTGTCTCTCAAAAATGAATAAACATTTAAAAAAAATTTTTAATTCAAAAAATAGTTAGATATAGAGTTGTAGAAATGGGACAGAAACATATTCCACACAGGGACAAAAACGTGAGCAAAGCCACAGAAGTGGAAATTGAGGGAGGAGTATGGGGAATAGCTGAGAGGTTTTTTTAAATTAACTTTAGTGAAGCATAATTTGCACACAATAAAATACACTCATTTTAAGTTAATAATTGGAAACATTTTAAGAAATGTATAAACCCATGTGGCCAACATCCCATAGCGAGCTTCCTTTCAAAAGTTACCATTTCAAGCTTTTTTTGTGCTTAAGAAATCATTTTATTACAAGCTTTATGATTTAATATGGAAACCGAAACAACATGCAGGCAATAAGATAGATTATAAAAAGCATAGGCCTTGAAATCAGCTCTAGGTTTACATCCCACTCTTCAGCATGTCACTTTGCATATCAAAGCCTCAGCTTCCTCATCCACAAAACGGGATTGATAATACAACCTACTTCCCAAGATCACTGTGAGGACTAAAAGAAATAATGGTAAGCTTCTGGCACAATGCCTGGAGTACAAAGTAGGACTAATAACTGGTATTAGTTTTATCACAATGAGATAGGCATCTGTTATATAGTTACCCTCAGAGGAATGGTATGGACCATGGAACCCACTGACAAAGGCTTTGAAGTGGTCCTAAATGAAAAATGGAGATCTCAAATTCAAGCTTCCCTACGGGTACTCTTTCACAGTCAATGGTGAAGACTCCAAAGTATTTCATACCCAAATATTTTGCTTTGATATGGAACGGGTGATTTGTAAATTGATTCTGGAGCAGATTTAAAGCACTTAAAGGGTACCCATCCACCCCCACCCGCCCCCGCCAGAACTTCCCAATGTGTCAGACCTACTTCCCTAACTTTGACCTCCCACATTTCATACCACAGGATGCTGAGGAGACCACACTCCAGAGTCACCCGGTCCCCATCTGTTTGTGGGCTCTGGCTCCTTGGCTTTCCAAACACCGACTCCATGACACGGCTCCCAATATCCGCCTCAGGTCACGACCCACTTCTTCAGTTTATCTACCTGTCACCCGGCCCATTCAACCCTCCAAGTTCCTTGATTGCTGCCGACACCCACTGTGTACTATTGTGACACCCACAGAGATAGCCATAGCTTCCTGGGGACCCCCTGTCCCAGCTCCCAGCACACAGGACCCAGGACTCAGCTCCCGGGACACAACTGCAAACATGACATAATTCAAGGGTCGTGGGAACAGAGTGCCGTCTACCTGAGCAACAAAGAGATGGAACTCGTCAGGCAGAATCCATGAGCGAGGGTAGAAGTTGTATTCCTCAGGAAAGAGATTCTGCATGATTCTCACGGCTCTGCTCAGAGTAATTTTACGCACCATCTCCGTCATGCCTAGGGAGAAGAGACGCGGTGAGGTTTGAACAGCAGTGGGCCACCAGCTATCAAACAGCCATTATTGGGGACTTTTAAAACCACCCACCCGACAGATTCACTTTTTCAGACAGGATTAAAAAAAGGTACGAGCTGTTCCCCACCGTGGTGACTCATGGTTTGGAAAGACCTACCAAATTAATGAAAAACTTGACGTAATAGACGGATATTTTTTTCTCTGATAAAAATGAAGCATCAGTTTGGAGGAACGAGTTTCCACCTAGTCTAGTATTCCATTCTTTGTCAGCCCCCTAGATAACGGATGAAGAGAAGCATTTATACCTCGTACTTTAACCTTCATAGCTTCCTTCATTTGGGGCCACCCTACACACCTCTGGGACGGCTTCTATCTTATACCCATGAGAATATTATCTCATGGACTCTGCTTACATTGTGAGAAGCTTAATTGAGTTGCTTTGTTTTAATCTTTCAGGAGTGTTAAAGGCATAAAATAGAAGAATATACAGCTGTCAGCATAAAATCTGTCTCCTTGGAAAAAGGACAGAAAGTGGAAAGGATATCATAGCATAATTGATAGTTTAGGGAGAAAAAAATGAACTCCGTAGGAGCTCTTCAGTTATAAGTACTGCACTAACATTTTTTTTTAATGTTTTATTTATTTCTAGGAGAGAGAGAGAGAGAGACAGCGTGAGCAGGGGAGGGTCAGAGAGAGAGGGAGTCACAGACTGAAACAGTCTCCAGGCTCTGAGCTGGCAGTCAGCACAGAGCCCGACGCGGGGCTCGAACCCACGAACCGCGGGATCATGACCTAAGCGAAAGTCGGACGCTCAACCGACTAAGCCACCCAGGCGCCCCAGTACTGCACTAACATTGATCAGACCTCATTAATTCACCCAGAGGGGATTCAAATGTCTCACTTATAAAACATTTTAAAAGATGGTGGATTTTTTTTTTCTTGTAACATCTCAGGAACTCTGACAAGAGAAGAAACAGAGTTTATTCCTTAGCAAATTTTAAGCAAATAGGCAGAAATTTTTTTCAAATTTTAGCAGGCTTATCTCTCAAGGCAAATATCATCACTGAAAACAGAGGCTGAAAATGGCCTTCACCCTCAAAGAGGCTACGCAGTTCTGTCACTGACACTAAAAATCTGCTTGGCAAAAGTTATTTTTAACAGAAAGCACACAGTTCCATGTCGGTTTGGCGTGTCCAAATTATCACACGTTGCAAATAGGCGCAATCAGAATGAATGAGATTTCTCCAAATTCCCACGTTCAGGAAGCGAAGGGTGAACATTTGAGAATGAAGGTTCTAATAACCTACTTCTTGCTTCCCTTGGCATATTAAAAAGAGCAATAAATCTGAAGATCACGGATTCAAGATGTCAATGCACAGCTTCTTGGTTCTTGTTTAGAAGGATATAGAGAAGGATTAAATAAGAAATAAAGGAGCTTAAAAAGCACTAATAAACTGTGCCCCGGCGTGAACTCTTCGATATTAAAGAAAACTCACTGAGGACACTGTGCTGAGCTTCCCAAGAAATAAGTATGAGCCTAGAAAAGTTTAGCTGTTTCCTTTCAGTCCCCTGTGAAATTAGAATTTTTGAGTTAGAAAACCTGGGGCCAAACACAAAGTGCACAAAGCAAAAATTTCAACTTTTTTTCGAAGCTATTTTTCTTTCCTTTGACAATACCGTGTTATCATACTGGACTAAAACCCTTCGTAACTAATACAGCACCTTACATCAAGCGGATGAAGCCTCCGGACCAAACAGTGTTGTGGTACTTTCTGCATCTTAATGGTGTAGTGACAGAAGGTTCTCTTTCAGAACCCCCTGAGCAGGTCGGACAAACTCACACAACACAGAGAGAGGTGCTGTGAGCACAGAAGTGTGGTTTGAATGCTCCAGAAAAGTCTGATGAAAATCAGTGTCCAGCAAATTGAGTACATGTTCATTTGAAACCTGCTGGACTCTTTCTGTAATGTGGATCTTAAGTCCCCACACGAGCTGAAAGGTGTGCCCCCAAGCTTGCTTTTGTGCCAGTCTCCAGGTACTTCTCAACTGAAAACATCCAGCTTTGGAAACAACCTATAGGCCAGTGGCTGCTTTTCCCAGACACTTGTGACCCACAGGCTGTAGACGATGACTCACCCCTCCTCTGCCTAAATGCCCGTCTCCAGAAGGCACCAGTGTAGACCTCCTTCAATCCTTACCACGAAACCCTTTGTTCCTCCACCATATCTAGGCTGTGCTCCCTCCAGGTGCTGCCAGAGAGAGGGTCCCCGACTCCCCGCTACACCCCATGTGGAAGCTGCTGGCGTCTGGGCTTCTGCTGGTGGCTCTGAGACAGATGTAAGGAGTGTCATCTTCTCTCAGTAAGATGCTGACGAGAGTAGCCGGGTTTCTAGCTGAGCCAGAGCACGTGTTCCCAGAGTAAACATGTGAGAAGAGAGGTCATTGGCAGGCTCTGCGGGCTCTAGGCGCCACCTCCCTTCTCCAAGCAGCTGTGGCAAGTGACCCCTCCCTCTGACCCCTGCCCTAGGCTCTCAGATACATTGTGACCTGAGGTAGAAGCTCTAGGTCTAACCATCAGCTCCACCACCACCCCCAACATGGGAACAAGGCGATCTTTGACCTTGACTTTGAACTCCAATTAGATAAGGAGGATTTCAACCATCTTTCTGAGGCTTTCTCCATTGCTTTGTGCCCAGATTTCAGTAATCTGTCTTTTGCTCCTGCTACCTTAGCAATGCTTTGCTTGGTTGCCTCCAGATTTCCTCCTCTCTTCCACCCAAGACTATCTAGCAAGGGCGAGGGGCCTCCTGCCTGTGACTTTAGCCCTGTGCCCACCCTCCGGCTGCCTACTTCCAGGTTCTTTTGAGACTGGCTGCCTACCTGGGTTCCTCGACAAGGTCCCTCTGGTGGCATTTCCCCCTTTCATTTGGGAAAACTCCCTAACTCAGGATAGAGCTTCCCACACCAAGAACGTGCCTCCTGCCATTCTTGGGCCTGGGTTCTTCTCTGCCACACTGGAGTCTCAAGGCCTGGTGGGTCTTATCCCCTATGAAGCTGCACAAGAGTATAATAGTCTGATCCTTAGGCTTGCTCACACAGAACTACTTAACCCAATTTTAAAAAACGAAACAAAACAAAATCGGAGCTGTGTCAGGAGCACTATTCAATCCCAATATCACTGATAATGATAATTCTTGGCAAAAACACATTACAGTCCCTCAATGACAAAGAAATACTTTCAGAACCATTCTCCTCTCTCTGTTCCCATTGCCACCAATAAGTTCATCTCTTGCCTGGACGCTGCAGCGGCCTCTTAGCTCTACCTCTGTTTCCGGGCTCAGCCCTTCTGCCCACCTCCAATGCATCCCTCTGGCTGGCCTTTCTAAAATGCAAGTTGACCCATGTCACTCTCTGGCTTAGCAATTTCTCAGTGGTTCCCCATGACCTTCAGACTGTAAGAATGCTATCCTCTGGTCCCTGCCTGTCACCTGTCCACTGCCCCTATCACATTTGACCCTTTCTGACCATCACAGGCCACCTGCCCTTCACTGAATGGGCAGCCTGCTCTAAACATCCTACGTCTTTGCACCAACTCTGCTCCCTCGTTTTGCAGGGAGATCAGGCCCATCCACCCCTAGAGCCTCGGTTCACATGGTAATTCCCTTCTCCAGGGTCTGCCTTCCAAGCAGATCTCAGTTAGGTCACGTGCCCTAGCTCCAAACTCTCATGGCATCCAAAGCTTCCTTTCTCTAGCATTTATTTTGTATTTGACTTCTCTCCTTGTTTTTGTATCCCCAGCACAGCCCAGGGCTTGACAGTCAGCTGCGCCATAGCTTCCTCTCTGGGACCCTCTCCCTCGCCGCCAGAAAGTCCCCTTCTCAAGGTGGACTCTCAGGCGACACCCGTCATGCGGGGCCGTGCATCTCAGACCCTGAAACTCAGCAAATAACTGTTGCTTATACACTGAGAATTGCCAGTTTGGGACTTTCTTAAAGCCAAGGACCTATCTAAATCAGATTACTTTTTATAGAAAGTCTTAATTCATCATTTAAGACACTACAACACATCTTGAAGCACCTCGCGCATACAAAAGTGGCTAAAATCTAATGTACCACACAAACAAAAGAAATCATTTCCATATGCATCCCCAAAGGTCTCCAGTTTATTCGGCATGCTGCTGGCCACGTCCAGTAGAACTTAGTCTACATGATAGACAATGCATCCAAGATGCATTGTTACAGTCACGGGGTATATCAGACACAGAAGATAAGCCCGGACACAAACTAGAGCCACAGTACGCACCCTTCTGGAATCACGTCATAGCTAAGAATTGTTGTCTGCCATAGGACAGAGGGTGGGGCCACATTGCCTCTCTGCCTAGAGGTTTGAGAGCCTGCTTTGTCATTAGAACTAATTAATTGCTGTTGGCAAAGTGGAAAATGATATGTTCCAATCACTGGCACATGTTATATGGGATGGAGCTAACTTGCTTCTTTGGAATGAATATTCTTATATCACCTTTAATGAAACTAGTCCGTTGAGAGTGTTTTTCTCTAATTTGTGTTCCAAAAGTAAAGCCATAGCTATGACTTCTTTTACTCTCAGCCATGAGATGAGGCATGAACAAATAGGGAGAAATGTAAATGAAGCCTCATTTGAAGATTCATGTCTTAGGAATTCTGTCCTCATTCAAAGGTTTGTTCTCTTTCAAATTACGTTCTTTGAATATCCCAGCAAGTCCTTCGAGTGGCATCAAAAAGTCACCTTTGATGAGCAGCAAGACAGAGGAAATAATAGCTATCCCATTAAACTGTGCGGAAGAATCCTGGCTACCAGGATCGTCCTGTTCTCCAACACAACCCTCCTTCCTCCTCTAACCTTGGGTTAATTTTCTAGTTCTGTTTCCCTGGAAACCAATAAAGGTAGAAAGTTAGCTGTGTTACTAGACATCAGAGCATATGGTTAAAATGATCCCTGGTCGGCAAATTGCATAAATACCTGGTAGGAAGCCGTAGCTCCAGGCTTCCCTGATGCGATGATTCTTGTAACTCAACACGACCCTGCTGAGGACCCTGGAGCCATGCTTTAGAGTAGCTACATGAGATACAGCTCTTAGGGGGTCTCTGAGCCAAGGCAGACCCACGTTCACTAACGTAGGTCTTGTCTCCTTGTACCTGAGCTTTCACTTGAAGGGTGAGACTAGCCTCAGGTGCCCTTTGCAGAGACAGCACTGCCACCGACTGGCTGGCAAGCTGTGTTTCCTGCCCTATATCCTTCGAAGCAAATCTGAGTCATGTGAGGCCCCGTAGTCTGCACGCTTAACTAAAACCCCCTAATGGAAGTGGCATAACTGACCAGTGTACAATGTATGGCCACTGGGTTTTCTGAGAGGCGTTTTCTTAAAGACATGGCATAGGATATGCCAAAGGAAAAGGTACCTTCTTTAAAGTAAGCGCTAGGCCCACCATGGGGCTCAAATTCCCAACCCTGGGATCAAGAGTCACGTGATCTATGGCCCGAGCCATCCAGGCACCCCAGAAAAAGGGTTAATTGACTCTCCTTTCAAAAAATAAGCATAAATGATATCACGGTAAGAGAAAATACCTTGTATTCAGGCAATGGCACTCTGGGTCCAACCATATAAAAATGATACAAAAATATGGTTAAGGTTTGGGAGGAAATATGGAAATACTCACAATGTTGTTTTATTAAATGGGGGATGGGATTGAGGGTGATACTCTTTTTTTAAAAAAAATTCTTTAATATTGTATTATAGTTCGGTTTGTGCATACTGAGTTAAAATTTCTGAATATAAGAGAAAGACCCTTTGGGTGTGATCACCCTCAGCTTCACCAAATGTTCCTTCCTTGCTGAGCATATCCACTCCCTTAACCATCCTCCTCACTTAGCCATTAAAAATAATGAATAGCAATCAATAACAGAAGAGGGTGGGAGAGATTAAAAATAAAATGGGAAGGCATATGGGGAGTCTGGGAGTGGAGTGAGGGGGTGTCTTAAAGTATTGGCTCTGACACTTTCCTGGCACAAGTCTCCCTTACAGGAAAGCCTCACTGGGATAATGTCCCCAGGTGAAAGACAGCCACTGTCTCAGCCTGTCATTCCCAACACAGAGACTGGTGTATGTCGTTTTAAAATGGTACCTCCAATTATGATACTTAAAGAAAATAGGAGCTGCTAACAGCATTTTGGGGACAAAAACCTAGAATCTTGGGACTTCTGTTTCTGGCAAATAATTTAGGTAAGATGGCTGATTGCTTTTCATTTTGAGAATATAATTCCCTCACTACACCCTCATATTACAACCCAGCAGGTGAAGATTATGTTCTTCCATGAGTGAAGTTAGACCAGGAAAGCCCATCTTTTTGTTTTTGAGCCTCCAGTCTTTAAACTCTTGGTGGGTTAGATCCTGAGTACCTCTGCCTTAGCTTCCCTCCCAAGGTAAGGGCACTACAACAGTGCAGGTGGCAAGTCCCAATTAGGAGTCCTTGAGTTTGAGTTCAAAATGCTGTCATGTTCTTGTAGAAGAGAGCACCCTGACACTCAGCCTAGAAACATTTTTCAACATCAACAATTACAGCGGATACCTGGAAACTTGTTCACTTGGCCGGAGAATATGTCATTGTCGTGAAATGAAACTCCATGCCAGTAGATGTCACAAGGCAAGCGTCGGCCAAATGGGAACTAGAAGACAGAGGGGAAAAAGTAACTATTAGCAGGAACCAGAGGACCAGCTACCATCCTGAGTGTCTATTATGTACAAATTCCCGGAGACCTGGCACATATCACATGATTTAATCCTCAAATTAGCACGTGAAGTAGATGATATCCTTTTTCATTTTATAAGTGAAGAAACAGTTTCAGACAGATCAAGGAACTTGCTCAAGGTCACACCCAGTGAGGGGTGGAGTTCTGATTCTATGCAGCAAATACAATACTCATGGCTTTACAAGTACCCTTTCATTTTGATCCTTGTAACTACCCTAGAAAGAACGATTCCCATTTGACTGGTGAGAAAATGGGGGCTGAGAAAGGTATCTAATATGCCCAAAGTAAACAGAGCTAGAAAGGAGAGGAATCAGGATTTGAATCCAGGTCTATTTGAATCCCAAACCATACTTCTCTTTCTCTGAAAACTGCAGCTCTCAAGTCAGCAACCCCCCCCCCAAAATGAGCTTGTGCTCTCTTGTTTATGCTCTCTCACTCATTCCCTTTCCCTGTTCCCCCACCCCCACCCCATGCTCAACACACACACACACATACACACACACACACACACACACACACACACACAGTTTGTGAAGGCAGAATGTATCCCCCAGTGCCTCAGTTAAAGGCTTCAATAAAGACTTTTTGAATGAATAAATGAACAAACCCAGGAATGGTCATCTGATTCAAGGTGAGACAACCAGATTCTCTCTTCCAGGAATTTGGAAATCAGACATGTTAGGCATCCACCCCTGCTGGCCCTCAAACTGAAAAAGATAAAAAGCCAGAGCCGGGCAGTTGTGCTTACCTGTGAGCACAAAGAAGCAAAGGCAGCCAGGCTGCTGAGAGAGAAGAAAGGAGCAGGTGCAGAGAAAAAAGTGAAGGTAAGGCCATGTGGCTATAGTGACAGACTGAGTGACCTTAATTCCCAGGGCTTCTAGATCCTAAGTCCAGACCCTCCTGAGCCTGGCTGCCCCACCCCCGTCCTTGGGTCCTGTAAGACAGCCTTGTATCCTTAGAATCTATCCCTTCTTTGCACATGCTATTAGGAAATAGAAATCCCTCAAGGAGACAGAAAATCCTGCTCTTTCCACTACATCCCACTGCCTCTCAAAGTTACCAACAAGTTCTACACTTACAGAATTCATTTTTTAAATCTATAACTCAGATGACCCTTGTTAAAGGAAAACAGTGAAGACATGTCAATTCATGCTTATTAAAGGGCCAGATGAAGAGAGATGACAACACATTAAATGCAACCACTTGATTTTCCCATCCTAAGATGATAGCTAATCAGGATTTTTATCTGCTCCAAGTTGAGAGAGTTAAGTTCCAATGGAAGGACATAGCATTACTAATGAAATGGTGGTGACTCAATGCTTTCCAACTATTCCAAATTAAAATGAAGGCAAACAGACTCAAGCCCTTTAAATCATTCACATTATTTCAAAGCTGTGCCAAAGTAAGGCATATGTTACACATTCTATTAGCATGAATAACTTTCATCTATAATTTATAGCATTTTGCTTGTTTTTATTGCATCCGATGGACTAAAGTTATTAATTCACTAGTCATAAATACAAAGAGATACAACATATGTTATTTTATTCCAGCTGTTAAATGCTAACAGAGAGAAGGAGAAAATAACTTAACCAGGAAAGTTTCTCTAAAAACCAAGCTATCCAGGCAAAGTTTTACTAAGATCCAAGTGGCTGTGCTGCATGAAATGTGAGGCCAACACCTGCTCCATGTCAGCAGACAGCCAATGACTCCTTATCACCTTGACAGTCACCCTTCAATCCTTGCCAACCTCATGAATCCCAAGTCAACACTTCTTTCAGCAATGCCGTTAGCTCATTCAGTTTTGAGAAGCTGGGTTTTTTAAAATTCATTCATTCAATAATGACTATGTGCCAGACATTGTTCTAGGTGCTGAGAACAGAGAGAAACACAATTTTAAATAGGTCCCAGGACTTCAAAATCCCACCTCTTTTTAAGATCTTTTTAAAAACTGCATACACAGCTTACATCATACCCAGTGGTGAAAGACTGAAAGCTTTCTCTCAAAGACCAGGAATGAGACAAGGATGCCCACTTTTGCCACTTTTACTCAACATAGTATCTAGCCAGAGCAAAAGGCAAGAAAACAAAATGAAGCATCAAATTGGAAAGGACACAAACATCTGTTTGCAGATGACATGATCTTATATGTAGAAAACCCTAAAGATCACACACACACACACACACACAGAGTTAGAAATAATAGATGAATTCAGCAAAGTTAAAGGATACAAAATCAATACACAAAAATCAGTTTTTTCTATATACTAACCATGAATGATCCAAAAAGAAAATTAAGAAAACAATTACATTTATAATAGCATCAAAAAGAATAAAATACTTAGGAATTAGCTTAACCAAGGAGGCAAAAGCCTTGTATGCCAAACACTACAAAATGTTTCTGGAAGAAATTAAAGAAGGAACACATAAGTAGAAAGACATACCATGTTCATGAATTAGAAGACTTTATATTGTTAAGACTTTATATTGTCAATAGTACCCAAAGCAATGTGCAGATTCAATGCAATCCCTAACAAAACACAAATGACTTTTTTTCCCTTGAAGAAATAGAACAATCTATCACAAACTTTATGTGGAATCTCAAGGAATCCAAATAACCAAAACAATCTTGAGAAGGAAGAATGTATTGGAGTTATCATACTTCCTGATGCCAAAACTGAACAGCAAATCTATAGATATCAAAACAGTACATAAAAACAATGAGATACAATAAAATACCCGCTGTACAACTATTAGAATGGTCAAAATCCAAAATGCGAACAGCGCCAAATGCAGGCAAGGATGTGGAGCACAGGATCTCTCACTCATTATTGATGGGAATGCAAAATGATACAGTTACTTTGGAAGACAGTTTGACAGTTTCTTTAAAAAGTAAACATATTCTTACCATATGATTCAGTAACTATACTCCTTGGCATTTACCCAAATGAGTTGAAAACTTATGGCCAGGAAAAAATCTACATATGAATGTTTATAGGCTTTTTATTAATAATCGCCAAAACTTGGAAGCAACCAAGATCCCCTTCAGTAGGTAAACAGGTTAGATAAACTGTGGTGCATCCAGATAATGAAATATTATTAAGTCCTTAAAAAATGACCTATTAGGCCAAGAAAAGACATGGAGGGTTCGTAAATATTCTTAAGTGAATGAAGCCCATTTGAAAAAGCTCAATACTGTATGATTCCAAGTATATGACATTCTGGAAAAGGCAAAACTACAGAGCCAGTAAAAAGATCAGGGGTCTCATGGATTGGGAGGGAGGAAGGCATGAACAGGTGGAGCACAGAGGATTTTTAGGGTAGTGGTACTACTCCACATAATACCAAAATAGTGGGTACATATCATTATTCATTTGTCCAAACCCACAGAATGTATACCACCAAGAGTAATAAGCTTTAATATAAACTATGGACTTTTGGTGATAATGTGCCAGTGTATGTCCATCAGTTGCAACAATTCTGACATGAGACTTTCATAGCTGGGGAGGCTATGCATATGCAGGATCAGTGAACATGTGAAATCTCTCTCTGTTCCTTCTGCTCAACTTTGCAGTGAACCAAAAAAAACGATCAATTTTGTAGTGAACCATAAAAAACCAAAGTAAAAACCAGTATGGTACTGGCATAGAGACAAACATATAGACTAAGGGAACAGAATACAGAACCCAGAAATCAACCCTGATATATATAGTCAAATTATTTGACGAGGATGACAAGACTATTTGATGGGGAAAGGACATTCTGTTCTACAACTGCTGGGAAACCTGGATATCTACGTGCAAAAAGAATGAAGTTGGACCCTTACCTTACACCATATACAAAAACTAACTCAAAATGAGTCAAAGACTTAATCATAAGAGCTAAAAACTATAAAACTCTTAGAAGAAAATATAGGGAATAAGCTTTACGACATTTGACTTGGCAAGGACTTCTTGGATATGACACTAAAGCATAGGTAACAAAAAAAAAAGTAAATAAATTGAACTTTGTTGAAATTAAAGCTTTTTTGCATCAAAGGACACCTGTCAACAGAATGAAAGGACAGCCCATGGAATAGGAGAAAATATTTGAAAATCATGCATCTGATAAGGTATGTATCAGATATACATCTGAATATATTTAAACATATTTTAAATACATGTATAAGAATACATTTTAAAACTTTTACAACTTAAGAACAGCAAAAACAATTAAAATGGGCAAAGGACTTCAATAGACATTTCTCCAAAGAAGACATACAGATGGCAAATAAGCGCATGAAAAAATGTTCAACATCACTAATCATTAGGAAAATGCAAATCAAAACCGCAATGAGATACAACTTCACACTCATTAAGATGGCTAGCATAAAAAATAATAAAAAGGAAAAAAGTGTTAATAAGGATATAGAGAAATTAGAACCCTTAGGCATTGCGAATGTAAAAAGCTGCTGCAGAAAATGAAATGGTCACATGATCCAGCAATTCTACTTCTGAGTATTTACTCAAAAGAACTGAAATCAGGTACTTGAACAGATATTGATATACAAACAATCAGCATTATTCAAAGTAGCCATGGTGGAAATAGTCCACCATCAACTGTCCATCAACTAACAAAACGGAGTATATTCATACAGTCTTAAGAAGGAATGAGATTTTGGCACCTGGTACAACGTAGATGAAACCCTGAAGACATTATGCCAAGTGCAATAAACCACTTACATGAGATAGCCAGAGTAGTCAAATTCATAGAGACAGAAAGTAAAACAGTGGTTTCTGAGGGCTAAAGAGAGGGGGAAATGGAGTGTTATTTGTGTAATGGGTACAGAATTTCAGTTTGCGGAGGTGAAAAATGTTCTGGAGATGGATGGTGTTGATAGTTGCACAACGGTGTAAACGTATTTAATGCTACTAAAC